CCAGAGTTGAGCTGCCCAACCAACCCTGTGCCAGGCCTTGGTCCTGGAGCGGCAGGGAGTGAGGCAGGCCCCCAGCATTTTCTTCAAATTGGCCAAGAGAAAGGGGAGCAGAAGGGATGAGAACTCAGGACTCATTGCCCCCTGCTTCCCTTCTCGGCTAGAAGCTCCAGAAGAGAGGGGAACAAGACCTTGTTTCCCCCTCCGTTTTAACCCCAGGTGTAGCACACTAGCTGGCACATAGTTGAAGTTTGATGACCAAGGCAAGCCACTGGGCAGTCACACCCAGGCCCTCTCCTTATGCTGCAGAAAGCCCAACAGCGGGGGACACAAGGGAGGCCTTGGATTTTGTGGTTATAACATGGTGGACTGAGGCCAGGCTCCTCACACACTGGCTGCAGACTCAGCCACAAACAATGGCAATCTTAGCGTCCACCCCTGGGTATGGTGCCTGGTGTTCGCCAAGCCATGCTCTCACTTCCCTGGCCTGGGAGCCCTCATCACATGTCACATATCAGAGTGAGCAGAGTGGCTGAAAGGACTGTTGCACTTCCCCTCCAAAGGGAACGCTTATCGTATCATCTTTATGACCAAACACCTTTGCCTGGAAATGGGATTTGGACTTTGTAGGAGTTCTGCAAAAAAAAAGAGAGATCAGGAGAAGGTGGCACTCTCTTAAATCCCTTAGCCGGGAAAACAGCAGGGAGGAGCCCAGGGACCAGCCCTGGACAACTCCTTTCCCCTTGCGCACACCCAGAAGATAAGGGAAGACAGATTCAGCAGGGCTCTAGCCCTGTCCTGGGCCTGGCATCTCTCAGCTGGGGTCCTTGCCTGGAAATGTGCCCTGCACTGGCCCAAGTGTCTCCTCCCACTTCTCCAGCATGTTTGTCTTCAGCCAAATAATCTCCAGTAAACCACCCTGGGGCTTCCCAGAACCCACACCCTCCATCATATCTACGCAGCTGCTCCAGAGCCCTGCAGGAAGAAAGCTGGTTGTGGTATTTAAAAGTGATGGAAAACAGGTCAACACAGCCTTCCTAAAGACCCACTGAGTACTTTCTATGTACCAGTTTCCAGGCTTACAAAGAAAAGAAATCAAACAGAGTCTTTCCTCAAGATTCTCACTGGAAGCAGGATGCCCCTAGCTCATGCCTGTAATCCTAGTTATTTGAGAAATTGAGATTGGGAAAATTGATGCTGGAGGCCAGTCGGGGCAAATAGTTCAGGAGACCCCATCTCCAAAATGGACTGGAGGTGTGGCTCAAGTGGTAGAGTGCCTGCTTTGTAAACATGAAGCCCTGAGTTCAAACTCCCACCACAAAAACACATACAGGCAAACACAAAAATAAGATTCACCCTGGACAAGTAGTCAGAGCATTTTGTCAGGATGGAAAGAGCTACCCTGGAAGTTTCACTGAATGCCTACAAGTCTCAAAGGAAAAGTTAAAATCAACCAACATGTGGGAGGTATTGTACCCTGATGGAGGCAAATGTGCAAAGAAGCCCGGGGAAGTGGCACACCTGTCAGATAGCCTGGAATCCCACACGTAGCTGGTACTCGGGGTGCCTGCAGGTGGGGAGGGTGGGGCGATGACAGCAGATGAAGCTGATAGCCACAGAGTTCAAGTGAGTTCAATCCACCAAGGAGTTTGGATTCATCCCTAAAGCAGTGGAGAACCATGGGAGAAATTAGAAAGTCAAAAGAAAATTTGGTGGTTGGCTAAACTGTCTGCCTACAGCAGCCTTTTGAAATGTATCTTATAAACAAGTTCTCTTGGGTAGTACTCCAAAACAGCGCAGCTCAGTCTTATCCAGACCCTAGTAGCCAGAGCCTTCTCCTCTCTTTCCCTAAAGACAGAGTGTTTTCAAACATTGTTATCTGGGGGCTGGAGGTGTAGCTCAGTGGTAGAGTTTGTGTTTCACCCACTTGAAACCCTGCGTTCAACCCCCAGCACCAAAAGGTAAATAAAAAACAAAGCCAAAGCATAGCTAACCTGCACTGAGTGCTTACTGCACACAGGCACTGAGCGTTTTGTATGTCTGTTAATTTAGCCCTCACAGCAATCTGATGACGTAGATATTCTCATCTGCCAATTTTACAAGCAAAGAAACGGAGGCACAACTGATGAAGTGACTTGCCTAAAGGCACACACTAGTGGGCAGTGGAGCCCAACTCACCTTTCCACCTCCTGTCCTGCCCTCCAGCGCAGCCCCTGGGCATGCCACACCTGTCTTCAAACATGCCTGCTCTGAGCTTCCTGCCAGCTGGGCAGGATACATTTTCTAGGGGAAATGGGCCTCTTCAACCAGACTGGGGTTCCTGGAATCCCAGGGCTGTTTCTTCCTCTCTCTACTTGTGTCTCCCAACAGCCTGCTTCCCAGGAGCCACCCCTGCTTCATTAGATGGCAGCCAGAACCAGTCCTCTCTCAAGGCACTCAGCTCTGGGAGCGCGGGTCCCTTGCCTATGGCCTCACTGCCCTGCAGGAGTCACCCACACATCTGTCTTCCCAGCCCTTCACCCCGTGCCTGGCAAAAGCTAGCACTCAATGAGGGTTTATGGAATGGATGAATGAACCTGACTTTGTCAGAGCATTACAATTTACAAAGCACTTTCCTATCCATTAACTCAAGGGCTATTCCCTCGGAGTCTTCCTTGTCCTCCACGGGCCTCAGCACAGAAATGTATGGTCATGGTAGCCACCTAATACTCTCTGGCCGAAACAAGAATGAGAGAACACCTGATTGCAGAGAGAGGGAGAACCCACTTCAGGAGCCTGCAAGCATCTGGAGGACAAGGACCCAGTCTCCTTCAAGACATCTCAGTGCCCTGCCCTTGAAGCTTCTGGAAGTAAGGCATCCTCTGCTGTGAGTGCTGAGTACATGAGCACTCTGTGTATTTGAAAATAACTTTAAGGAAAAAAAAGCTATGTTAAGTCAAAAAAAAAAAAAAAAAGACATCTCAGTGGATCATGTAATCCTAGCTACCTGGGAGGCTGAGATAGGCTCAAAGCCAGCCACCCCATCTCCAAAACTACCAGAGCAAAATGGACTGGAGGTGAGGTTCAAGTGGTAGAGCACCTGCTTTGTAAGCTTGAAGCCCTGAGTTCAAACTCCAAGCCCAGTCCTATATCCGAGTGCCTGCACACCGCCTGGCCCACGGGGCTCAAAGTTTGTGAAATGTGTTGAAACCCACTTCCCCTCTGCAGAGGCAGCAGGATTCCTCCCTGCTACTGCTCTCTCGAGAGTCTGAAAGGAGAACCGGACCCAGGACTTCCACTTTTATCATTCTGTGACGTGCAGAATCTTCTTCATCTCAGATCTCTGATGGGAAAAGGTTATTGTTCCTGTCTTACAGATAGCAAGATGAGAGCTCAGAGAGGCCATGCATCCTGCTCAATCCTCAGTCCCCCAACATCTGTGGGAGACGGACTGGGGACACAGTGGCCGAGACAGTAAGGCACCCACAAGTTCCAGGGAAGGGAAGGAGCCAGCTGTTCCTTCCAAAATCCCAAACTACTGTGCTGTCAAAGCACCTCTCCCTCCCTTCCCACAGCCTCAGTCTGTGGTATCCCAGAAGAGGGGAGGGCCCCAAACCCACTACCTCTGTGCCCTGAGAGGTGACACTGTGTGTGTCACTTAGCCTCTCAGGCGACCAGCATCCTGCAGGATCTTGGGGACAGGTTGCAAAACTTGTCATCCTTCATAAGGCTGCCCACATGACCAAGAGAAAATCAACCTTCCACTTCAACCTCCTCTTCTCACCAACTCCCCCCTCTCCGGGAAAGTTCAGACACTTCTCCCCCCAATACACACTCACATCCTGTGAGGTGCTGGAGCATCTGACGGTGGGCTGAATCCCTGACAACCGCTCTCAGGAAATTCTTTCCTGTTTAACTTTCATGCCCAGATCTGACCCCATCCTGGGATGGCAACTGTTCTCTTCGGGGTTCCCCACTCGGGTCCTGAGCGTGCGGGTGCAAGGCTTGGGACCCGCAGCACCAAACTCGGCTCCCCTACGAGGCCCCGGGGCGCCCTCTAGCGGTCGCTGGCTGGAGTTGGCGCCATCTCTCTTCCACTCCCCCGCGGCGGAGAGCACCTGGCCCAACCCTCACCCAACCTCGCAGGTTGAGAGATCCAGATGCATGCGGGATACTTGGGAATTGTGTGTGTGTGGGGGGGGGCGGCAGTGGGGTGGGGGACGGGGGTATGGATGGGTACCCATGTCAATGTCAGCAAAAAACTTGGCAGTTGGCCGATGAGACCGAGGCCGGGGCCGCTGCCTCCCAGGCTGGGTCCCCTCCATGCCTGAGATTCCCCGCCTTGTCCACAGGTAACTGTCACTCATCCTTCATCTCCACCTCCCAGGTGCGACCGTAGCCTCAAGGCCTGGCTGCGGAATGGCTCTAGTCCCTTTTTTTGTCAGGCCTGGGCGGCATGGGACAATAATCAATCATTCAGGGCCTTGGTCCCGCCCAGGTAGGGGCAACACGGGTGGACAGGGGGGGGGGAGGGGTGTCCCCAACAGGGTCCAAGAAAAAGGCAAGGGGTGCTAGGAGCCTCTCTGGGTCGGTCTCCTAGAACTTGCCCGCGCTCCGGGAGCTGCGCCCCCGCCTCTGCCAGAAACCGGCCTTCTTAGAAGGGAGGGGGTGTGGGGGGAAAGTGTGAATGAGAAGTGGGGGCGGAGCACACGCGGGGGAGGGGCCGCTGCCAGGAACGCGCGGCCCGGGCTGGCGCCGCGCCCGCCGGCCGCCCTGGCCGCCTCGCGCCGCGCTTTGTCTCCCTCCGTGCGTCTCCGCCGGTGCTGGCCCCCGCTCGAGGCCCGCCCTCCGCCGCCCGCGGCCCCTCCCCGCCCTCCGCGCGCAGCCTTTCATTGCTGCGAGTAGTGACTAAACATTACAAGAAGGCCGTCCGAGCAGTTCCAGGAATTGGGGGGCGGGGCCCAGGGGCCGCGTATATACCCGCGCGAGCGGCCTCCGCGGCGGCTCCGACTCGGACTCCCCGCGCCACCGCCACCGCCGCCACCCCGGGTTCCGTCCGTCGCCAGCTCGGCCCAGCTCCTGCTGCGGCCCCTCACCTCGTCTCCATCCAGTCGACCCCAGGGGCGCGCCTAAGTCGGCCCGGGGACGACGAAGCCCGAGGGACGCGCGCGCGGCAGCCCCTTTGTGGACTTCACGGCCGCCAACATCTGGGCGCAGCGTGGGCTACCGCTGGCCGCCGCGCAGCCACCTCGCCTTGGGGACCGTAGGAGGCGCAGCCCCAAGGCCGGAGACTTCAGTTCGGGACCAGGTAGGAAGGAGGGGCGCGGCGTGGGGAAGGGTGGGGGCCTCTCTTAGGCTCGGGAGCTTTTCCCGGTTTCTCCTCCCCTTCCCGGGTCATTCCCGGCAGGGAGGGGACGAGGTAGGGCGCAGAGCCGATGGAAGCTGGAGATCCCAGGTTCCCGGAATACTCAGGCTGGGGCCCTCGGGTTTCTCCTGTCCCCTCCCTATCCTCCCACCCCCCATATCTCGGGTTTCTACCCCCGTCCTCGCTGCCCGGTGCCACCGGACTGAGCGGCGCCCGGAGCGTCCCGGGGGCCCTTCTCTTTCTCTCTCTCCCCACCCGGGCCAGCGCTCCTGGACACCCAAGTTCGGCGCGCGAGTTTGCCACTCGGCGTTCTCATTGCGCGCTAGGGGAAGGAGCTGGCTGCCTGGGGCCACCCCGCCGGCGGGGACAGAGGCTGGGCGGGCTCCGCGGGGTGTCTGGGTCGGAGAGACAGTCACTCGGCTGAGACTGGCGAGCCGAGGCGGGCCGGGCGCGCTGGAGGGTTCCGGGCACTCACGCGGCGTGCACCTTCCTCTCCGCAGCCCCCCGGGATGCGGTAGCGGCCACGGTGCGGAGGCCGCGAAGCAGCTGCAGCCGCCGCCGCGCAGATCCACGCTGGCTCCGTGCGCCATGGTCACCCACAGCAAGTTTCCCGCCGCCGGGATGAGCCGCCCGCTGGACACCAGCCTGCGCCTCAAGACCTTCAGCTCCAAGAGCGAGTACCAGCTGGTGGTGAACGCAGTGCGCAAGCTGCAGGAGAGCGGTTTCTACTGGAGCGCAGTGACCGGCGGTGAGGCGAACCTGCTGCTCAGCGCTGAGCCGGCCGGCACCTTCCTCATCCGTGACAGCTCGGACCAGCGCCACTTCTTCACGCTCAGCGTCAAGACTCAGTCGGGGACCAAGAACCTGCGCATCCAGTGCGAGGGGGGCAGTTTCTCGCTGCAGAGCGACCCCCGCAGCACGCAGCCGGTGCCCCGCTTCGATTGCGTCCTCAAGCTGGTGCATCACTACATGCCCCCCCCGGGCACCCCCTCCTTCTCGTCACCGACGGAACCCTCCTCCGAGGTGCCGGAGCAGCCGCCTGCCCAGCCGCTCCCAGGGAGCACCCCCAGGAGAGCCTATTACATCTACTCTGGGGGTGAGAAGATCCCCCTGGTGTTGAGCCGGCCTCTCTCCTCCAACGTGGCCACCCTTCAGCATCTCTGTCGGAAGACCGTCAATGGCCACCTGGACTCTTACGAAAAAGTCACCCAGCTGCCTGGACCCATTCGGGAGTTCCTGGACCAGTACGATGCCCCGCTTTAAAGAGCAAAGGGCAGGATCAGGACAGGGGCCTGGGTCCCCTTCTCCGTGGCACATGGCACAAGCACAAAAATCCAGCCCTAACAGAGTCCTGTAGCTCTGGGTGAGCCAGGGGGCTAACAAGCCCCTCCCTCCCGCCCTCCTCTCTGCAGAATGGGGCAGGCAGGACCGGGAATGTGTGTGAGGGAAGGGGGAGTGCCACCTGGCTCCCCTCCCCCACTCCAGCTTCTCCTGGGAGCTAGCTGGCCTGGTGGGACTTTAGCAACGACCAGTGGATTCTTCTGTCGCCTCCTCTCCCTCCACTCCCCCTCAGATTCCCAACGGACACCTTGGGAGTGTTGAACTAATGAGAACTGCAGGGGAGTCTTCAAACTTTCCAACAGAACTTCTTTGCGCTTTGATTTCTTTTAAACCTGAGCTGCCAGGGGAAGGATGGAAGAGAGAGAAAGCCTGAGGGGGCTCCCTGAGGCTGTGGGCTAACCAAGGAAATGGCCACTCCCTCTCCCCAGGCCAGGTGAGGAGGGTGGCTGCATGTGTCACTCCCTAGCTCTGGGGAGAAGGGCAGCTATGAAATCCAGGTCCCAAAGTCCACTGGTGCCCCAGAGCCCTTCCCTGTTTTCAGGAGGAAGTGGCACTTGAAGGGGCTGGCCAGTTGGTCTCCTTTTCCTGCCCACCCTGTACCTTCAGCACCTGGTGGTGAGTGGAGAACCTCTGACCCTAGGACCCCCAGAGAAGATGGGGAGGATTCTACTTTTGTGCCTCCTGACTTAGGTCTGGCTAGAAGATTTGCCTTAAAATGTTCTGTCCCATGGATAGGGACTGGCACACAGGAGCCAAACACACAGCCAATCCAGGCAAAGGCAGAGGGAATCATGAGAGGGCACCCAGCCAGCCACACTGGTCAGGGGACATGGGTGGGGGGCAGAGACCCGGGCCTGGGAGAGAGTCTGGCACTTCATGGTCAGCAGAGCCAACCAGGTTCCACAGCCCCCAGGCCAGGCATAGCCCTCCCTCCACCTGGGTCAGGGGAGGCAGGAAGTCTTCTAGAAGCCTGCCACTCCTGCTGCTCTCTGGCGCTGCAATCCCACTGGTCAGTGACAGCTTACAGGAATGTAGCAGTGAAGGAATTACCTGGAACTGTTCTTTATTGGGGAGAAAACAATAAACACGGTTTTCTGGGTCAGGTAGCGGGCTGGGTGGGATAGCTGTGTGTTGGGATGGTTTTCTTCTCTTTTTTTTCTTTTTTTTTTTTTTAAATGTTTACAATCTGCCTCAATCTTTTATAAAGACTCCACCTCCAGTCCTTGCCCCTTTCTCCCCACTCAGGCCCTTGAGGCTGTTAGGAGATGCTTGAAGAACTCAACCAAACCCCAGTCCAAGTCAAACTTTGCACATATTTATATTTTTACTCAGAAAAGAAACATTTCAGTAATTTATAATAAAGAGCACTATTTTTTAATGAAAAACATGACTTGAGCCTTCTTTTCTTCTCCCTCTCCCTCTCCCCTCCCCACCTCTGCCCTGCTTTCTCTTTCACCCACACGCACACAGAGGGAAAGGAAAGAGCCTCAGAGGGGGCTGGCTCTGTCATGTCCCTGCCCTAGCGCTCCCTGAGGTGGAATCAAATGCGTGTTCACGTCAGCACGCCTGCCTGTGTGTGTCACTGACAAGCTAAGGCAGCCACCTAGACTGTTACCAAGGGGTAATTCCTGCTAGTCTGATTCAGATCTGACCAGAATATGCAAAGCAAGTTCGAAGGAAGCCCTTCAAAGGGCTTGCAGGGAACAGGTTGAGCTGTGGTCAAAGCTGTTAGAGTTCCAAGCTATTAGAAGCGCTTGGGCTCCTTGGTAGGGAGGTGTTCCGAGAAAGCCCAGACATGGGGTCCTGGTGGTGACTTGTGACCTCAGCACAGACAACCATCAAAGCAGGGGAGGGGAGGGGTGAACCTGATGCAAGTCTTTTGGGAAGGCGGGGTTTGGGACAGGTGTTCAAAGGCTTCCTGGCCACTGCTCCCCACACCTCCAGTTTCCCTCCTACATCCCTAGGGGCCCCAAACTGAGCCGCGGATAGACAGCACCACGCTCAGATCATACATCTATTCATGCGTCTTTAGAAACTCCCATACCCTGTGTAACAGGTTGACGCTCCCAGGCGCCCCCATAAATCAAGGTACTCTCAGACATCCGTGTGCTCCATGTGAGCAAGGACTTGGACTGGTCATTTCTGGTCCTAGATAGATGATCAGCAAATATTTGTCCACTGATGCTCAGTACACATTTGTCAATTGAGTGGGGACAGCTACTCAGGTTCTGGGAGGTTAGGCCACCTGCCCAAGGGCACAGTACCTGAGAGTGTGGGAACAACACGGATGGGGACGCAGAAGCACTTGGTTCCCAAAGCCTATGAGCTCTCTGCCTTCCACATGAGGTCCATCCCTACCGTTGCCCCAAGTGAGTTCCCCTAAAAAGCTAAGAGGTTAGGACCCCTCCTCTCACATACTGATGGGTTTTAGCAATAGGATTCTGCTAAAAATAACAAAACAAAAAACATTTCAGTGATATTTTCCTCCAGTCCTTCTTTCTCTAGCCTCAGGACCTGACAGCTGGGAGATGAATGTTATCCCCAAGTCAGGCGCCCCTGCTCCTTATCTGAGTCTCAGATGCCTGGAACAAATGCCAGAGCCTCTTCCCAGCCTCCATTGCCCCTCAGCACCTGATAAGTTGCTGTGGGAATCAGTGTCCAAAAGGCAACTGGGAGAGTAAACAAAGCCGTTTTTCTTTCCCATTTCCCGAAACTTTGGGGGAAATGACCTAAACTGAAGTATTCAGGCCAGGCACAAGACCACTGGGTATCCAGAGGGACCCTCAACTCTGGAACTGGGACTATAGATTCAAGGAGGGCTATGTCCCCAGAGCACAAGTTTAGTTGAGGGGACCAATGGGGTCTGGCCTCCCAATGTCCCCCAGGAGTATGAACTCCCAGGACACCTTCCTTGTCTTGGAGCCTGCCATGGCTATGATCTGCCTCTTACTGCAGAAAGCACACCTTCTGGGGGTGTTACGGTTTTTTTTTTTTTTTTTGGTGGTCAGGACCTTGTACTTACTAGGCAAACACTCTACCACTTGAGCCACACCTCCAGCCCTTGACACAACAGTCTCGGTGGAACCTGGAATGCATTACGTCCCTGTCCCTAGCCCAGGAGTTGGCTTTTTAGTCAGGATGTCCAATGTTAATAGGACACCACCAAAAAAACCAGGTGTCTTCTCTCCCTGCCTACCTCCTGAAAGTTGAGCCTTGATTTGGGGGAGACACAGAGCCAGGAAGACCCCTGACTCATTTCCTTGCCTACAGCTCATTGCCCACACCTCAGCTTTCTTCTGTCTCTTCACTTCAGATCACTGACTGTTCCAACCCTCTGCATTTGTACACCAAGAACCTGGGGTCCAGACACTGAAAGCAACTTGCTCAAGTTCACACAGTGGCCACAGCAAGCAAAAGCCTCTCCCTCTGATGGTTCTGGGGACCATCTGCTCCATCCTTTCTTCCCCCTTCAGCCCAGCCTGCTGTTACACAAGTTTCCTGCTTCTTTGTCCTTTCAGCTGAAGACATTCCTCCTCCAAAGGACTTAGTGGGGGAAGCCTGTTCTGGATGCCCGAGGAGGGGTGCTCCTGGCTCCAAGATGGGCTGAGAAGAACCTGCAGGGAGGAGGCAATCCCCTATGGCTTGAGCAGGTACCTCATGGCACAGCTGGGGGGTCTTTGGGCGACAGAGTGGGGTGATGGCTGCTCCCAGTCGTTGTGCCTATCACCGTGCTTCTAGGACTGTAAGCATCCACTCGATTTTTATAATAATAATAAAGAATCCACTCGAGAGGCCCCATCCTCCTGGTGGTGCTGTTTTGGGCAGGCCTCCTGATGACTTAAGAGCCAGGAATGGGAAATCCAAGGCCTGCTTGAGGAGAGGGAGGGAGAGAGGGAGAAAGGAGGCCACAGCCAGGGGAGTCGGAAAATAAGCCTGCTCTCACGGAGTGTCCTAGTCTCAGGAATGAGTAAGAATGTTTGGGAAGGGGCACTGCAGAGGTACCAGGCAGAGAGGTGGAGGGGGAGGGTTATCAACTGGGAGTCCAAGAAGATGGAAGCCAGTGGGGTGGGAGGCGCAGGCTTCAGGAGCGCAGGGCGGAGTGGGGGACCCAATGCACAGGGACAGGAGGTGACCATGGCAGCCCAGCGTGAGCAGAGCTCCCAGCCGGGTAGCCCTTTCCTGAGCTCCGCCCCGCCCCCTCTCCCGTTTTGGCGGCCGCCGGGCGGGCGGGCAGGCGCGTCGCTCCGAGGCTGCCCTCTGCCAGGAAGAGTCACTTCCCGGACACCGCGGGAGCCCTGCTGGAGCTATGCGAAGAATGTCCGCGAGGAGCGCAGGGGGCGGCACCTCCCGGGCCGCGCCCCCGCCCGGCGGCGCGTGCGCACGGCGGCCTGGCCCGGCCCGGCCCCGCCCACCCGGACATGACCACGCCCACGCGACCGCGACCACGCCCCCGACGCGCCCCCCGCCCCGCCCCGCGGAGCGCTGTTGCCACGGCAACGGGATTACAGGCGCTGAGCGCTGTTTATTCTCAGCCGAGTGCCAGGAAATTCGGCCCGGAGGCCGCCAGGCGCACCTCCCTGGGTGGAGGCAGGAGGGAGTCCGTCATTGGTCACCGGGGGTCACGGACCCCCTCCGGGAGGCTGCTCAGAAAGCTCTCGTCTCCCGGCAGAGAATGGATCAGGTTTTCTCATCCTAGAGGAGAGACCCCCCACCTCCAGACCAGCCGAGTAAACCCGCACCGCCCTCCACCCCCATCTCCATCCTAGAGATCCTGTCCTTGGAGCCCCGCAGCCTCCTCCCCGTCCCGTTCATTCATTCATTCGTCTATTTAGCAAATATCTGTTGAACACATCGTGCGTGCCAGGGGACTGTTCTAGGCCCAGGCGTTTTTAGGGTCCGACAAAATAAAGGTCTGACTCACCAGACCTAGTAAATATGTAAAATAAATTAAGGACTGCTCTCTGTGTCATGAAGAAGCAGCATCAAATCTCGCTTTCGTTACATGGCACATGCATAATTTTATTCCATCAGCTTGTTCAAGAGCTTGCTCATGTTTTTCCCTGAAAGTCTGACAAACAAGGATGATTGAGCTGTCTACCTTCAGGGCAGAACATATCCACTGTAAAGATGGAGAATCTGCTCTTCAAAACTCAAGGACAATCCTTCCACCATCCTGGGGGCTAGAGAGAAAGGTTCTCATTTAGAACCTAAGGCTTTTTCCAGTAAAGTTTTTTTTTTTTTTTTTTGCTCAGAGTCCCTCACCCTGCCTCCCAAGCCCCCTGCAAACACAGAGACTCTGGCTGGACGGAGGGTGTGGATAAAATTGCTCCGTCCTGGACTCCAACCTCAGCTCCTGTGAATCAGACACCGACCTGGAGTCTGAGTAATCAACACCTCCCCAGGTGACTCTGAGACCACCTGCTGCTGCCTTTGGGGAAGGCAAGCCTGGATTCTCCTCTCTTCCTGGACACGGAATTTCCTCCTTAAACTTTGACTAAGCCAGGGCTGGGAAGTCAGCAGGGAGGAAAGGCTTGGAGTTCACCCGCCTGCGCTTCTGCAGGCCTGGACAAGTGCAGCCCTTCTCTGTCCCTGGGCTCCAGTTCTGGATGCCCTGAGCCTAAGGACGGTGGGGCCAGGGTGGAGGACAGTGCTCCTTCCCCAGCTGAGTCCTCCCAGCTGTGCTGTGCTGGGAACTGGCCAGGCAGTTTGTGAAATCCTTGGGTGAGTCTGACCCACTGTCATGAGGACTGCTTGTGGAAGCTGGAGCCGGGAGGGGGATGGTGGGCTGTTCCCAGAAGCGGGGAGAACTCTGGACTTCCCACTCCTGAGCGCTCTGGATTGCAGCACAGCCTTAAGCAATAGCAGCAGCCTGGAAGGCAGCTTGCAGAGAGAACCAAGGCCACAGGCCCTTTCCAAAAGGAAGCCAGGGTTCTAAATGCTAAAACTGTTGCCTCTCTGGGCTAATACTCTCACTGCTGTTATTCATAGCAATCTTTTCAGCCTTAGCAACATCCAGACTTAAGAGCAAAACACAAGAGTGCAAGTTACTTGTTATGTACATTACACAATAAAAACGTATTTCCTCTCTTTGTCCTCCCCTCCCCCAATCTCGAATGATACTTTTCATCCAGAAAACATTGTCTAATATCTGTAATGTATAGAATATTGAA